CATATGAGTCGAAGGGTTAGAAGGGTTAGTAAGCGCCTTACCTTCATCTTGGTCCAAACCCTTAGACTCAGTATGAGCAGATGCTACTCCTACTCGCGGCTCGCTTTTGGGTTACGGATTAATGGGCACCAGGCTATCACATGCCCTGGGGTACCACACTTCAGACATTGTGCATTGTCCATTCTTTCCTGCCACGTTTCTTGTGACATTCTCATCTTTTCACATGGCTTCCCGGCCACAATTCCGGGATGCTCAGGAAACGAGCATCTTTTTCTTCATTGCTGGCGGACGTGGTCCTCCTTTGTTGACCACGGCAGCAGTGACTTCCCCCTTCCCGGAATCACTGTTGTTTGCCACACCCTCGGCCTCCAATAGTATCGTCATCAAGGACGACGAGGGTGTGGTCCTGGCGCTTTTGGCGCCAAAGTATCCGCTTACCAGTTCCTACACCACCACCATACTTCACAACAGACACATATGGATTCTTAACTTGAGAAGTCATTTGCTCTCGCTGGAGAGCAAGGTCCCGAAACTGACTATAATTATACTTATCTAACTTGGACTCTGCCACGAGTTGTCCACGAATGGGCTCGGGCAGAGCACGAGAATAGATGTACAAGACTTGGTTGTCTTGCAGGTTCAGTCCAGGAACCTGCAACAACCGATCAACTTCCCTAGACAACCACGATTCCACAGAGGTCCAATGTTTGTGACCAATTGTGGTGAGTTGGTCAAAAGTCTTGTCGACCGTCGTTTTGTCCAAAAACCATTCCTTGATCTTTCCTAGGAATTGTTTGAGGTTCAAAGTTCCAGCCCACTCCCCAATATCATTGAACCCTGTTGCGTTAGCTTCGGCCAATACCCAATCCTTCGCTTCTCCCCCGAGACAAGAAGTAGAGAAAGCAACTTGGGATTCGGGTTCGACAAAGGTCGTACTACAGTACGTCTGTATCTCAGCAATCCACAACAATAAATTTTTATTTTTTTTGTTGCAGAATGTGAAAGGCAATTTTATTTTTACCTTTTCCTTCTTCTTTGGTTTCTCAGGTTGTGTGGTGGTGACTTTATTTCCTCCAGGAGACTTCGGCGGACTCGAAGACTCTCCTTTCTTCTCTATCAGTTTCTTCTCTTCCGGCTCCTTAGTCTCTACCTTAAGAGACTTCATTGCATCTCTCATTAGTTTCTCGGGTTTTTCATTTTTCTCTTCTTTGACCTTTTCTTTCACCTGATTCTTTTCTTTGACCAGATTGGTAATTGTCTGCAGACCCGTGGACACCTCCTCAATCCGAACCCCATACTGATCAATCTTCATCTCGAGGTGAGCAAGGTAAGTCACAAGTTGAGCCAAAGAAACAGCCTGTCCTTTCCCTTCAGTTACAATAACAGTTCGTCTGATTTCTTCTATTTTTTGTTTTTGCTGTACATTCCGTTTTTGTTGTCTTCTCAATTCCTCTTTCCTTTTCTTCTCTCTCTCTAGTGCTTCTTCAAGTTGTCTGATATTTTTGTCCACGGTTTCTTCAGACACAACCCTTCTCCTCCTTCTTTCCGATCAGCAATCTTGGAGAGTTGATCCATGATATACTTATGAAGTGCCTGACGACACTTGATTAGTATATCCTGAACCTGAATGACGTCGGTGTCAGTCTCAGCCGATTCAATAGCATTATGTAATGCTCTTAAAATCGAACTGGCTCCTGACATGAGCCTCAACTTCAGCACCTGCATCATGAAGTTCAGAAATCAGTTTGTCCAAATGACCAATCAAAACTTGTTTCCGCTCTTTTACTTGTTGCTTAGTTCGGGGGTCAGGAGTCTCCTCATCAACAACAAACATGAGTGAGACTCGATAGAAGAGAAGTGGAATAAAACGAGTGAGCACTGATAATTTTAGAGAATTCCAAAGAAGAGACATCGTGATGTGCGTCTGTCGCACAATAAATAATTAATAAACAATAATAAATTCCACGGCCGCACTGATCTACGGCAGCAAGATTTCGAACAACCGAAGAGAAAAATATTTACAATATTTATATTCCTAACTATTGTTGTTCTTTATCTGTGTGATGACATCCTACTCGAGAGTGTACAGACAGTACAGGTACTACTTCAGGCCCGTGTGATCAGATACAGCACACAAGTAAGTACGCACAGCATCACAACACAGCAAACGACAAGGTAAGTATGCCAACATCAACAGCAAACAGTTTGTCAACAATCCTTCTTCTTCTTCCCCTCTTTGTCGTCCAAGTGTCAATGCGATGTTGCACTCTCCCTGACAGCTGGCAATGGGACTGTATAGTCGGTTCAGTCAGTTGTACCGCCGTGGTCTTCGGAATGCTTCTCTTACTTGGGAGTAATCTTGCCTGCCACGTGTCATCCCTGGAGTGCCAACACAACAGATCCTACCACGTCAGCACATCTAATCAACCAGTGGTGGGATGCCACGTCAGCAAATGTGTACTCTGATCCTTCCCACGTGCCACTTCCACGCGTCACGTCGCGATACCGTCGTCGTTCCAGCCAGTCAGACAATTGCCACGTCAGCCAAGGAGACTGATGCCATGTCAGCAGGCAGTCACCACCTCACGAAGACAGGTGTGATGACTTGCTTCCTGCTACGTCAGCAATCAATCCTGTTTCCTCAAGGCCACGTCAGCATATGGACCCTGTCGCGTGTCAACAACATGAGAAGTGTCACATCAGCAATCAGCAACAAGGTCTTCAGACGCGGCACAACATATGCCACGTCAGCAGGGGATCGCGATGCCACGTCACTGTCGCGATCCAGGCTGGCGCGCGATATCCCTTGTCGCGATCCCTACTGCCACGTCAGCAGCCTCGTAGGGATGTCCTCTGGCCAGCGAAGTCTGTACCTCGTCAGCAACCCCTGCAGTGTCTTCTCGCCAATGAAGTGTGTGCCACGTCAGCATTCCTGACATATCTCTTGCCACGTCATCACCTATTCAACACACGTGTGCTCGACACTTACCTGCGCGCCACCTGGCGCATGCACACGTGTACAATCATCGTCATCAGGAGAACTGCTCCGATACCAAATTGCAATGAACCCCGATTGTGAAGACTGTCGTCAACAATGCAAGCCCAAATAAATGTCAACCAGCTGATGATTACCAATAGTCAAAATCGTGTCCAGAAAAAATGAGATGAGATAATCATACACAGACGAAGAGAGAGGAAGGAGATTGGACAAAGGAGAGGAATAAAACAGGGCCCACTCCTGCTTCGGGCTCCCTCCTCGATCACCACCTCAATAGTCAATAGTCTGAACAAGCATCTAAAGTAACCTCAATGTGCCACGTGGCATGTCTAATTAGTCTCTCATCAGCACTGGAGCAATGTCGACATGAAGACCATCAGGTACATATCCACGATCTCTCCACAGACCCGATCTCCTCCTGAAGTGACGATAAAACAGAACAGCAGTGTCGGTCACGTAGTCCCAGCAATAGAACACGTGGCAGCAGCCACATCAGCAACAACGCGTGGCAGCTGCCACGTCAGCATGCCTTGAAGACAGTAGCTAGCCAGCCACCATGCCGAACTAGCAGCGCGTCGCCACAAATCTCCCTAATGCCAGCACAAAGCCAGCATCCACCAGCGTCGCAACGTCAAGTCCACGTCGTGTCGTCAAAGCGTGAAGTCAGCCTTGACGCAAGACATAATGAATGTCAAAGCCAGGAAGTCGGCGCTTATGAAGCATTGACGTGGGGTCTGGACCCCGGATGCTGCATCCTTCAGCCATCCAGATGTCAATGCAAATGAAGGCCCAGATTGGTCCAAAACCGAATTCTCTCCGGCCTAGATGTTGTCTGGGTACTTCGCACAACAACTGAGTGTATCCAACCAAAGGCCTGGGCGCGGTACCTTTGACTCTATAGTTGACTTTGACCCTTGAATTTCCAGTGTGCAGCGTTTGGTCACACAGCCGAACGCAGCAGACTCAGGCCTGGGCGTGTCTTGGTCACACAGCCCAATGCAGACCGACTCAGGTCTGCATTGCCTGGGGCTGAGTTCTGGGCCCCAGGCTACTTTTGAACCGGGTTAGTGCAGTTTTCTCAAGTAAGTATTCAATGAATTTAACGGAAGGTTTATAATAGAGGGGGAGAGAGAGAGGGTGTCTGCCCCCCCCTGCGTACAAGCGTAATTGTGGTGGGGGTGCGCGAAGCATGCCCCGGGTGTTCGGGTACTGGAAAGCCAATTCTTACCCTATCTGGCCCTCCCCATGTGTGTGCGTAATATCATGGCTTGGGAACAAAATGCCCACTTCTTGCCCTACATGGCGCTCGCCAGGCGTCTGCGTAATCATGACCTTGGTGGGGGCGCGCGCCCCCCAGCTTTGGGAACAGAAATCCCACTTCGTGCCCTTTGTGCCCCCCCCCCCACCACCACGTGCGTGCACAATGATGTTCATGGCGGGGGCAGACGACCCACTTCTTGCCCTATCCGGCCCTCCCCGCGCGTGCGAGTGATCATGGTGGGCTGCTTTACTGGAGGTAGTACCTGATTGGCTCTATGGTGTTCTCCGGGACATGCACTAAAACATTTGTGGCCGTCGGGTTTTCGGCCTCGCCTGTTCTTCCGGATGCAGTTTTTTTCGGGGCCGACACAAATTGAAATGACAATTTTTCAAGTCATCCTTGACTTTTCTTTTCCCCCTTCTTTTTTCGGAGTGCGTGTCTGGTCATGTTCGCCAATACATAACCGCACAAAGGACACATGATTCTGCCAGAGTTCCTTAAACTTTTCACGCCCACACCACAGCGTGATCTGAGTCGCTAGGCACAAAAGCTGCTTGGCCTTTTCTCTGTTTGCTTTGTCCCTTTTTTTTTCCTTTTTTCTTCTTTTTTTTCCTGGTCCTTCCCCTTATTCCTTTTGTGTGGAAGGGACGGAGATGGGATGGACTTTTGAGGTGTCAAATTTTGTGGGGGCCGCAGATACCGCGGACTGCCATTCGGGCGTAGGAACGGCCCCGAGAAAAGGGGGTATCCTAGGATCCAAGGTCCAGAGGCGTTTTATTGAGAGCGGAAAGGGATGAGGTCCCGAGGGGGACATCGGCATTGGGGTCTGTCCAGTCAGCTTGCTGGAAAGGGACATGTGCAGGTCCCTTGTCGGATGGCTCAGTGAGCACCCTCCGGATGTGCCAAGCAGTCGGTTGTTGGCGGTTCGGAGTCCCGTTTGCACGTGGGTTTTGGGACCTTGTACATGAGTTACGAGGGACTCTCTGCACACACTTTGGGTGGTTTCCAGTTTGCGAGGGGCGGGCAAGTCATTTTCTGGTGGTCAAACGAACATTTTTGCGGCGCCGTTCGGGCCTCTAGTCGTCTCTCTCGGAAGGCTTTCACGACAGCTCGCTCGTCGCTGTCGGCGGTCGTGGCTGCCGAGGCTTTCCTATGTCGTGGTGCTGGGTTGTGGATCGCGGTCACCCTCGCTCATCCTCTTGCGATGATTGGCGCCTGACAGCCGACGATGGTCCGGTTGGCGGTCGTTTGCAGGTGGTGGAGGCGGAGGTGCCCATCACCGGCTCTCAACTTCAGCACCCTTATCCCGCAGGTTTCGGGGAGAGCGGTTGCGACTTTGTTGTGGTGTTGTCTTCATGTTCGCACTCACAACGGCGCGTTCCGTTTGTATTGGGAGGTGTCGTGACTTGGTAAGGACGCTCTGTGCTCTTTGCCATCCAAGCGGCGCCATTGAGCGGTGGCGCAGGTGGCCTCAGCCCTGCATCCGTTGCTTACCATATGAGAGGGCAGAGACTTGTGGGATGTGTGATGCATCCGCTGACGGCATCGCGAGGTTGGGCCTGTCATCTGCCCGACTTGTTGGAATGCGTGTGTGTGCCTGTCATGTCCCCTATGCTGATGTCTCGGTATGCTGCACGTCGTGACATATCGTGTTGTGTTGCGGTTCAACTGTGTTTAGGTTGTGGGTTGTGAAGGCCTAAAAGCCTAAAACTCAGGGCTTACAGGCCCCGTTCATTTCAGCCTGGATGCTGAAAAACGAGGGCCTGCAGGCCCTACCTCGTTTCAGCCTATTTCTGGGTCTTTTCAGACCCAGAGCTTTCAGCCTGAAACGGAGGGCCATTTTCAGGCCCTCATTGTTTCGACCTGCTCCTAAGACTCAGGCACGGAAACAGGGATGYGGAACAGGCCCAAAATAGCCTGTTCCTCACGTACTCGAGCAGGAGCTGCAGCTGCAGCCCCTGCCTCCCTTCGGCAGGCTCAAGAGGCACACCCGTAGTACATAGGAGGTTCCCATGCACTTCACGGGTAGGTAGTGTCAGTAGGCGAAGGTAGTCTTGAGGATTCGGCCGCAGCACTGAGGAGGAGCGTTGCAGTAGTCCTCAGCGCTAGGCAGTAGTGGTAGCGCTAGCTGTAGTCTTTGGCGCTGGGCGCCATAGCTGTAGCTGTAGTCTTCAGCGCTGGGCGCTGGTAGGTAGTAGATCGCAGAGTGGGAGAGAGACTGGCGGAGGCCAGTGTTACTTACCTGTGGCGCCATCGCTCCAGCTCCATCTTCGTGGTACCTGCATCAAGGCGCCAACTTCACAGGTTAGTACTGGACACAGAGAGAGAGAGAGTTCTTCTTCTTCCTCTTCTAAGTCCACCTTCTCTTCTCACCCTCTCGCCACCTGACTTCTCAGACTACGACAGAGAGAGACAGAGTTGTGACTTGAGACTTGACGACATTGGATGCAGACTTGACATTTGGGATTCAGACAGTTCGATGAGGGACTATTTGGGCTTGTGCCGAAGACTTGGTGTTGACGACATTCCCATCTTCCCCCTCCTCTTCGTCTATCCCCTTCCTCCTCGTCTGTGCATGTTCTGGGCTGGCGCTGTCTTCCTGTGTGAAGCGCCAGACCCATTCACACTATGAAACGATGATGATGATGTATGTTCAGGGCTGCATTACAACATTGATTGTTCGGATCACTGGTATCTAAGTCTTCCGCTGTGCTATCTTATACTTTGTATTGAAAGGTCGGTTCTTGTTCTGGTCTGCACCTATACGGTATGCAACAGTTTGGTATCGGAGCGGACCTCTCATACAGAGGACCCGCTCAATCAAGTAGCCATCTTGCGATCTATTGATCACTCATTAGTATCAGATAGAGGCTGAGGAACAACGCCTGCTGGCAGTCGAGGCTGCCCGCATACAAGCTGAAGAGGCAGCAGCAGCAGAGAAACTGCGGCTACAGGCCGATGCAAACGCAGATGCCCAGGCTCGCCGAAAGGAAGTCGAGGATCTGCTGCAGCGGCATGAAGCCAACAGCATCGACAGACTCAAGTACAGGCATTTTAAACCGAACGGCGACGACGCAACACCGGAAGAAAAGCACAAGGAGTTCCTCTCCAAACTCGTGACGCGATTGTTGTATGCTTGCAACTACCAAAGGTCAGAGTTGGAGAGACAACATCGGGACCTGACGCAACAGCATCAGGAATTGGCGACGCTCCGCCGCACAGTGCAGAGCCACGAGGATGCAACTCGGGCACTCAATGCCCGATTGTTGGACCTGGAACAGGCWGTACCAGGACCAGCTRYTGRRGCTTCYAGCAGTGCACCCTCAAGCCGCCAACTGGAGGACCGCGTTGACCACGTAGTGGCAATGCTCGGCGACATCAGCACCTTCGCTGCGCCGACCACCACCATCAGCAGTCAGCTGCGTACATTGAAGACCGAGGTCCAGAAGCTGCAGTCGACGAACGCGGACGACAATCCGAAGCTGTACAAGATGCCAACTTTCAACCTGGAGAGGTTCGACGACTACACGCAGCAGGATCCCGTCCTCTGGTGGGAAGCATTCACAACGCAACTCAGGATTCTGCCAGTAGCCAAGCATGCGTACATCGGCGCCCTGTTCCTGAACTCAAAGGGCGGATGCCAGACCTGGTTGAGCCACCTGGCAACCTCCCACGGCGTCGACGTACCAGACTTGAAGGACGTAATCACATGGGAGGAACTGACACGGCTGTGGAAGAATCGGTTTATCGTCGACGACGCGCCGACATTCGCCATCAACCGTTTGTTCACCATGTCACAGGGCAACACAGCAACACGGGACTGGCTCACGGAGTGGCAGAAGATTGCGGTTGTGCCCAATCTGAACCTACCATTCGAGCATCTACGCCGTGAGTTCTACAACAGGTCCTGTGCGGCATTGAGCCAGGCTCTTGGTGATCGCGAGCAGTACTCAGCCTTCGCGGAGATCATTGACAAGGCGAGGGAGATCATCAAGACCAACAGGTCAGCTGCACACGAGAAATCAACATCATGGCAGCCGACCTATGTGGAGAAGGCACGAACTGGTCCGCGACAGCAGCACTTCGCTGCAATCCAGCAGGACAGTGGAGATAACCCAGCAGCCACTCCAGTATCAAGTGACGGAGATCAGGTGGTCGTTGTCCAGCCGCGAAGCACCAACAAGTCCCGCAACAATGGGAAGGCGAAATCCGCATCGCAGGCCGGAAATGGACAGCCAGGACARTTTCCATGGGTCAAGTTTGGCTTGACCGAGGCGGAGTACAAGGTCCGCGGCCGCTACGGCAGCTGCTATTGGTGCAACAGCACCAAGCACAAGACCTCCTTGTGCCAAGATCAGGGCAAGGAGGATGTGCGACCCCGCCTCGGCTCGGGAAACTGAGCCCCGCGGAAGGTGAGGCGACTCCACCTTCTACTCCGCCAGATTCGGCCGCCTTGCTAGCGGCCTTCTGCACATCTGGGGAGGATGCGAATGTCGCAAGTCCTCGGTATACTTACGAGGATTATGCTGTCCACTTGGTTCCACCGCTGGACCAACCGCTCCACGTGCAACAGTCCACCACATGCACGGTTTCATCACCATCGGCAACCGATTCGGCAGCTTCGCCGCAACCTATCGCCGGGGATTCGACGTCATGGTCAAGACTTGACGAGCTCAATCCGTTGACGTTCACGGACTTCCAGTGGATGCCCGTTCCCTCGACCGGACGATTGCCGAAACCGCATTGCAACGTGCTTATGGCACAATTGCGGGACTACTTGCACACTGCAGTACCAACTCCGTTGATGGACGCCGGAGCAGAGGTTGTCGACCTTCACGCTTTCATCGCGAAGATCGACCGCGAGTTCAAGACGCAACGGTACGACGACATCGACGCACCATTGCTATACATACGCATTCAGATCGGAGAGGCGACCTGCAGTGCCTTGATCGATTGCGGAGCATCTCGCAACTACATCAGCCAGGACTTCATGGTACGCGTCGGCCTTGGCCCACATGTCCGGAGGAAGTCCCAGCCTACGCAAGTCACTCTGGCAGACGGTCATACGCACAAGTCCATCGACCGATGCATTGACGCCGTCCCAGTATACTTTGCCCCCCACGCAAGTGAGGCGGTGTCCTTCGACATTCTGGACACCAAATTCGACATGATCTTGGGCATGTCATGGCTGCGAAGCAAGGATCACCCTGTGAACTTCTTCAACCGCACCATTCACGTTCGTGACCGGAACGGAGTATTAGTTCCATGCACGGTGCCTTTTCCTCATCCTTCGATCAGCTGCCACGTGGTATCCGCCGCAAGCAGGCGAGCTTCCATCATCAGAGACGACATCGAGGAGATGGGGGTGTGTTTTCTCCACGCCCTCCCGCCACATGACGCTTCATCGACGGACTCACCTTCGGATCCACGCATCACCGAACTTCTCGACGCCTACAGCGACGTGTTCGAAGGCCCGCATGGAGTAGTACCGGATCGACCCATCCGCCACGAGATCATCCTCGAGGACGGGGCCGTACCTCCGCGCGGTTGCATCTACCGAATGAGC